AATTCCTTTTAGAACTTTGTAGTAACGCGTCAAACGCCACGGATGGACTATTCACATTAGAACTCACCACATGCTTCAGTTGATTCTGATACTGACTGAGATTCGAGTAGGTAGGCTTAGAAATCCTGAAAATAACAACCAGTACCAAGAAACTGCAGGTATTCCTTAAGTATATGTGAATCGAAAGAAGCTTGTACATCAAGATAAAAACGCTTACACCTAGAAACTCATGCGTGTACAGATAAAAAAACTTGTCACATGGTAGTATTAGTTCCTTATAAATCCTTTTTTTTGAAAATCCTTTTCACGAAGTCTTGAACACTTCTCTAGGATGCTGTAGTTGAAGTGCTAATATAAGAAATAGGGATCTATGAAACTGATGCTCTCCAGAGCCTCGATTTCCAATTCGTCGCAAACGACTTCGTCCAGTGAGTTTATTTGAATTCATAAAGACATGAAATTTGTTGAAAGGCGTTCAAAACTCTTTCTACCAGAAATCTTCAAATGGCTGATTTCAAATTGAATTAATGGATTCTAGTAGAAAAGACATTGCTAAGTATCTTGATAATGAACCCCTTCGTCTTAGCTGATTTTTTAGGAGTAAAATAACTATTGTTAAAAAAGATCTCTTCAAAGCTCTTTTTACTCTGTAAATAACATGATTGCTTCATTGAAATGAATGGGTGTCTATAAAAACAAAAAAAGGTAATTAAAAACATTTGTATGATTGAAAACAGCACATTGGTTGGTTTTTTGAAAAAAAAAGTTTTTTTGTGAAAAACCTTGGTGACGTTTTTTGATGCATCCTGCCTTCTTTCATTCTTTGTTGCATTTTATAGCAGAATGAGTAAATTGGATGATGAACAGGGGTGTAGTGACGTTCAGCGTTGCCATCTTTTTTCTGATAGTCAATACGACGTTTCGCAGTGATATACGACTAAAAACGTTGCCGTATCATATCGTATCCGCTTACATACTTCCGTATTGCAGTACAGATTCCGGTGTATTCGACGTCTGGATTTCACCATATACGACACGGCGTTATACGACTGCAATGCTATCACTACCAAGCTGGCGAAGCACAGCTCGTTTACAACCGTAATTTTACCGTTTACTACTGTCTACGATGGTCGTACTCGGCACCGTGTTTTTTTCTAATAAGTTTAAAGGTATTCGTCATTCTCTAGTCGAAAAATATGTTGTTTTGAGAAAAACGATAAAATCTGTTTCGTTTTTTCTCAGTTTATGCTTTATTAATCCCGCAATCCAAATTTCACTGTCCATAGTCATTCTATATATTTATTTATTTGTTTTTTATTTGAAAGAGTATGTCAAGTTGCAGTGCAGTATAGAGTCCTTTTTTAAAATTAAGCTTTTTCTTATCATATATACATACACTTACATAAACAGAACACTAACTTGTGAGGCTTTTGAGACCTTTAACTTGCCATTCTGTTTCTTCGCTTAGAAAGTAAGAATTTGAAAAAAGAGCTCTGTACGACACTTCATCCTGGTATACTCTTTCGAACAAAAGAAAATGGACTATAATTAATGAGCCTGAACAGAAAAATTTGGTTTACCAAATGCGCTATTGTGGACTCTCGTTTGGCCAATATCTCACTCAAACATCATGATATAGGGCTGAAAATTTTACCATATTCTTTCAACTACAGCTCTAACATGTTCTGAAAATTTCATACTATTTGAACACATCGGCATTGAGATTGGTTTTTAAGGGGGCGGGAGGGGTGCTTAAGAGAGCATCCATGAAAAGAAGATCGAGGATCATCCCAAAAAAACGCGGCACTGATCAAAATTTACGTTTTTGATATTTTATGTGCGTTTAGTAGAGCAGTCTCAAATCACTAAACTGAATTTTTAGTTCATATGGATATACTATAGAAAAGTTGATCAATACAAACTTTTGGATACTGCCAACTGATTATCAAAAAAATAGTAAAAAGTGTGTTATAAATGTCTACTAGGATGATCCTTCCACAAGTTAAGGGATTTTTTGTGTGCAATATAACCAAACATAGAGTATCAACAGCTGAGAAAAAGAAGCTATTTAAATTACTATATATTGCATATTTACTGAGGTTTTTTTAGTCCAACATGAGTGAAAACTGACACAATTTATCAGTTCATAAGGATCGATGTTCGATAGTATATCTGTTGCCATATGTTGAAATCAAGTTAGTCTAAACAGAATGCTTGATATGTTACGCAGTTTTTGATTTCTCATGAAATGACGAAAAATATCGAACAATGAAGTTCACCTATGAGGAGAAAATGGGGCTCATCAGTCTCTTTTTGATAGCAATTTTTAATGATTTTTCAAAAGAAAATTTTTTTTAACCGTTTCATTGGCAAGACACGATTATACGTGGGGCACTACAAAAGTTTTTTCACTAGCCTTTAGGATAAATATTCAGAGGAGGATTTTAATTTATTTTTTCAAAGTACTGTCCTTCAGTATCAATGCATTTATGCATTCGAATAAACCAGTCTTCGAAACAGTTTTTAAAGTCTTCTTTTGTGAAACTGTCAATGGCTTGTTGTAAAGCNTTTGTCTTAAATTTAATGTCTGATGAAGTATCTCATCGAGATACGAAACGTCACAATTTGTAAATTTTAAATTTAAATAAACTATTAATATCAAATCAAATTAAATTGATTCAAATTTTAAATTTAAAAATTAAAAATAAAATAAAATAAAATAAAAGAAGAGAATTAAATAATGTCAAATTTCTATTTCTTATTTAAAAAAAACATCTGTCTATAGAATATTGCTGGCGACCCGACAACACACTTTACACATTTTTACAACTGAATTCCGATCGAACAACAAACAACCGTTGAAGTATCGGGTAGCTATTCTTCTCTCCACAGGAAAAAAACGAGAAGGCTGAAAAAGTTGTAAGTTATTCTTTCTTTGCATTAAAGCAGTCAGTCACTTTCAATTTTACTGCAGCAGTCAATTACCTAGTTTCCGTTGATCGTTTTCTACGAACATAGTGCTCGAAGCATTACTGCAAAAGGACCCGATCAAAGCAGGTGAAATTTCATTTGTGGTTTGAAAGATCTTTTTGTTTTGTACATGAATGAGAATTAGATCGTAAATGAACAATATTAATAAAAAAACGAGAAAAAGAACGAAAGCTAACTTCCTTAGATTGTTACAGGATTTCATATTGAAGGCCATATTTTGTTAGAAAAAAAAATTTTAAATAGGTCTGAAGAACAACATTGAGAATGCTAACGTTGATGTTCAACGAATGTAGTTTTGTTGCGTGAATACGGTTACATTTGTTTTAGATAATAACTTGTTTGAGCGACATGGCAAGATGCAGTCAATTCAAGTACATTGATAAAGAGTCTGTTGGCTCTGCTCTACTATGCGGAATCTGCAAAAGACCTTTCGAAGATCCACGATGTACTCCATGTAATCATATGTTTTGTCGCGATTGTATCATTAGGTGGATTATGACAAACACGACATCATGCCCAGTATGTTGGAAGTTTATATCAGTTGATAGCCTATCGCAAATCAGTCATACTCTGAACGATATGCTTGATGCACTTCAAGTCAAGTGTAGTCTCTGTGGACGGGCAGATATACAACGAGGACAGTTCAATGATCACATTAATAAATCATGTCCATATGTTCTTATACCGTGCTTGTCAGCAGATGTCAAGTGTCCGTGGATTGGAGAGCGAAGTCAACTTCCAAATCACTTGTCCACGTGTATTTTTCACCCTGTTCGATCTGTGCTTATTCAGGTCTTTGCCGAAAACCGACAGCTCAAAGAAGAGTTTCGGCAACAGCTAAATCAAACTCAGGAACTTCAAACTGAAATTCAACGCCAAAAAGTTGAAATAGAACGAGTTTGCCAACACTTCAACCAGCACGAAACTCAGATAAACAAATTAACAGATCAAATAGCAGGTGAGAATAAAGAGACTGTTTATGGTTAGTCAAGTAGTGGTCTTCTCCAGTGTAGACCTAGTACAAATACTTAGAGACCGAATTTGACTATTTTATGCTCATCTGCGCATGTCCAACGCTCATATAAGTCAAGATAGAGTCAGCTCATATTAGGAGTATTAGCTGCTATCTACAAAATGTATGCATGAATTAGTAGAGTCTGTATTCTCTTTCCGTTCTTAATGCGTCATATGAATCAAATTATAAATCTAGGTTTTTATATTTCTAAAATTATTGATCCAAATTATGCCAAATTGAAGTGAGACCACGTTTTTCAAAAGCAGAAATCTTTGGAAACTGCCTGTAGCAAAGAACCGATCAACATATCGACTCTCTTCGTACCACATTGAAATTTCGTTAAGTTGTTTGTCAATCAGTATCATACGAAAGCACTTAGCAAGTCTCAAGACAGGATTGGGTGTGCGTTTGAATGTAGGTGTGAGTTCCCCTTCACCCACACCCTTCTATCAAGAAAAGTTTATCGAATTGTCAGGAAATAGAGATAGTTATATACCAATACCAGTTCTTGTGCTGAAGTATTATTAGTATTGACCGCCATGCCGAGTATTGAATTAGATTCAGATAACACTCGTTCAAAAATAGTAAATTCTAGATCAAAATTATTAAATTATTCGAAACAAGTCCGAGTCGGCTACCAAATAGAGCCTCAAAGTTTAGAGTCTGATTTTGATTTTTCTCGATACCAAATGCATCAAAATGTGATAGAATTCTTTTTGTCGAGAGGATCTAGTGTTCGACTTAGTTCTTTAGATGCTGATACGAAATATCTTATCCACCTTATTTGAAAAAGAATTTTTGACAATAATAATCTCAAAATACGAATACAATCATTTTTCTATTTTGCTGCTTAGGTTAGTAGAGCGACAAACCGGAGTTGTTGGTTGCCATCATGATCGGTAATAATGTTTATAGAACTGCTTTGATTCTCTAGTATTGATAAGGTGTCTGTGAGGAGAAAGGGGTCCCAGTGAATTCAAATTTTTATCCGTCAATGTCAATAATCTCTTTAGATCTCGTTTCACAAAAACAAAAGAAACTAGAAAAAGAACAATTTTTGTCTGATGAACCAATAAAACCTGAAGAAGTAGCTTATTATGCAGAATGCAAACAATATTATGATATCACAAAAATGCCATTGATATCTATTTCTGATGAAATTTTTAAAAATGATATTAAATTAACGTCATCAACACTAAAATTTGCTATTGATGTAGATTACAGTGAATTTGTTTTACAAAATTTTTTAAATAAAATTTGCAATATGTTGGATATCGATATAGATGATATTGATATTAAAAAAATACAAAAAGGCAGTGTTTCAATAGAAATGGAAATTTTTAAGAAAATCGATTCTAAACTGCAAAAAATTAAAATTCTATATAAATCACTGACGAATAAAGTTCGAAAGAAATTGGGTCAATTAAAGATCTTCTTTATGTTTATGGGTGACATTACGTCATTAAATAAAAAACAACAATTTCGTAATGCAATTAAACTACATCCTGAATGGAATCTTACATATGCTATAGGTCATACATACTGGAAAGGTGCTCTCAATGATGACATAGATCGTGGTAATCAACCATATTATTGTCCTGTTGGATGGAAAAGATATGCTTTATATGTGACGGATAAATTCCGCGAGAAATTTACAGGATGGTGTAAATGTTATCATGGTACAAAATTTTCATATGGATTATCAATATTATTATGTGGACTCAAACCAGCAGATCTTGCACAACATGGCAGTGGCATATATGCTACTCCTTCAATTATTTATGCATGCCATCCAAGATATTCTGAAATTAAACGCATTGAAACACCAGAGCAAAAGAATGTTTTTAAATCTGGTGAATATATACAATTCGTCTTAGAGTGTCGTGTTCATCCAACTAATATTAAAAAAATAGCGGAGGAAACATTAAATGCTGGAGGCAGTACTATTGATTCTAATATTAGTAATAATGACATTGAATGGGTGATAGATGATCAAACTAAAGAGATAGTGGATTTTAATGATCCAGATGCTTCTATTATATGTACAGGGTTAATGATACGTGTTACCGATAATCATCCTGGTTTATTATCTGAATCAGATTGGTGGTTCAAATCACATTTATGTAACAGGAAAACATGTTGTTGTTTAGGTATTGATCTTGACGAGTTAAAAAGACAAAAAGAAACAACACATACATGTAATATTATGTATGAATAACGACAAAATTCTTTTCTAGATATAATAAATAATTTCATATTTTTTTCTTCTATATAATATTCATAATCATCTCATAACACCTCTTGATATATCAAAACATGAGGAGCCATGTCATCGGACATCCACAGGGTTCTATTGTTATTATGTAGTGGTAGAAAGCGTTCTTGAGCAGTCGGCAGCCATCTAGTTTTGCTCCTACTTTAGCCACCAACTACGTAGGAACACATTACACTTAACTGAGTGATGAATAAACATTGACGTACGACTCTGGCATCTCAATCAGCCGTGATTACATAATGATACATTATTGTATACTTAACGAGAATAACATGCACTCAAGTCACGGTATAGACTTCGGTGAATACTAACGGTCAACCATAAGCGGCTGTCATAGCAAATATATTCTATACCGACTTATAAAGAAAGGTTAGCAAAACATCAGAGACGGATACGCCCTTGCTTATGAATATTATCAACGCAAGAATTGGTGAACGGCAATAAGAGACAACTGGCAATATTGTCTGTCTATATGCAGTGGATCATATGAACAAGAGTGTCACATGACATAAATGCATCCAAGAAACACAATGACTCATGCTCAATCATACCATCGACAACAAAAAATTTAGTTCCAGTGTCAAAGATATTCGTGTCTATCAAGAAGCTGCAGAAACAATCGGTATTCAATATCAACTTCGTCAAATGAAACTCAAATTTCACATGAAATGCCAACAGAAATCTAACCAACAACAACCTGTTCGTCTCTAGAAAAAAGAAAGTTGTGCAATTCCGATGGTATCGCAAATTTCTAAGTAAAATAATGTATGTCAAGGCTGTATGCATGTAGGAAGTAAGAGTCGGATGAGAATTGGATATAAGTCTTCTCTTGACAACTTTTCCTACGCCAACACACTTCATAAACAGAAGCTTTCATAGACCTTGTTTTAGATTTTTTTGAGCTGTACTCCATGCATCTGTCATTCTTGCGAGAGTTTGGGTGTGTGGATAGATGTGAAGAGAAGACTGATCTCCATGCCCACACTCTTCGTTCATGACAACTTTTATCTCAGAGAAATTCATAGATGTCAAATGTGAAACTTAGACTCAACTATTGAGTAATTGAATCAAAACCTTACGTTTTACACGTAGCAGCATGTCAAAAATTTGACTTGGTGTCTTTTTGATTTCGAAAAATGGCCTTAGATATATTTTCAACTCTAGAAGACATTTATTAGACACTCAATCACTATTTTCTTGATAATAAGCAAGTAGTGCTTAAACCTCAATCAAAGTTAAACATACTATAAACTATCGAAATGAGCTAAAGATTTGATTTTGGCAGTGTTAGACGATGGCATTTTGAATGCATATAAGAAATAAAAAAATTGAAACTTTGAACGGTGCATTTTTCGTTAGTCACTTTATGGGTGCTGTTTTAAAATGGATTGAAAGTATTCGAAAACACTCCTATGTTTATTTTTAAACCCTTTTTCAATTTTCAAAATCAATCTTTAGTGCTAATAAAGTGATAGAAGAAGCCACGAGATACAAAGCCCATTGAAGAAAATCTCTGTGATTTCAGCAATATTTTGTTACGTAACCGTGTTTTCTTTTATCCACGTACTGTCAAATTAAAAAAAAGTCGAGTAATTCTAGTTTTGAGCGCAATCTCTCTAGTTATCTTTCTACTTGAACGTCTTTCTTAAAACTTCAAAATCTGTCTTATAACGCTGTTGACGGAAACTGTTAGAGGATTTGGTGTTTTAAATTTTCTCTCCAGATTCCGTTTGATCATCAGCTTAGCTTTTGCAGATCAGGGTGTAGGCTTTGGTGTGCATGGGTGTGGGTCTACTCTTTAATCAGTCCCATACCCATCCAAGACAACTCTTGTGAATATTGTTCGGTATCGATTTCTGCATTATCGAATCAAATTGAAAATGTTGTAAGACTATCTTACGTAATGTTAGCCTCTCTCTCTTCCTATCCGGGGATTCTCGAAAACAATTCGACAAAAAATTATGAAACTTTCAGAACAGATAGATCTCAATGAGCAAAGCAAAAGTTGTCCTAGACTCCAAATCTCCAGATGCTTTCTTCGGGAAAATATATGAGTCGCAAAGGCCAAACGTGCCCGAGAGTTTGACCGCAAACATCTATACTTCATTTTTTTCGAGCTGCAGTTTTTTTATAATAACTAGGATCGAGGATGAGAATGTGGATGGGGTGGAGGTGTAGGTCAAGATAAAACGCGTCCACACCCATACCCTCTTTTTCTCTCGCACATTCGAAGAAAGTGAAAGAGAAATCGATTTATTTAACAAATAAACACTCATGTAAAAAAATTACTCTTTATTAATCATCAAATGATAGACGCAGTTTTCTTTCCAAAAATCAATGGATTGTATCATATAATAAAATAAGCTGCTTGAATACTACAGTGCGGACCGTAAAAAGCATGTACTTTTTTGTTTTTACGCATAAATGAGTAAAAAGGATAGTCTGAAGATTTTCTTTCAAATCAGAGTTTGTAGAGAATTTTTCGCTGATCATTTTGGTAAAAAAAGTTTTTAATTTTCATTGAATAATAACGATTTTATAGCCAAAATACTAAACACTGTAAAAAATAGTAAAGAAAAAANTTAATTAGATAGTTTTAAAAGAATGAACGCTTTATACACTGTCCTTTTCTTTGTTTTCTAATGGTTCATGAAAACAAACCAATAACAAAAAAGAGAAAAATGTCACGCTTCGCACGCGTCACGAACGGCTGTTACGCTCGATACGCGTGATGTACGCGTGATGTCACTCGTACAAAGTGTGATGTCACGCGTATCAATAGCGTTCGAGTAGACATGGGCTGCACATACATATATGTATGTTAATGCACTTATCTATATTTGTGCATTGCGCCCTCTATCGTTCCTTCCTCACTATACATATCGAACGGTACGTTTTCCATACGCGTACGAGATTTATTCAGCAAAAACACACACTGCACAAAAATAATAAATTTAAAAACTTCCTTTTTGTTATCTAGAAGAAGAAACAAAAAATCAAACATAATTTCATTTTTTTTTATCTAGAAAAAGAAACAAAAATTAAACATAATTTCCTTTTTTTGTTATCTAGAAAAAGAAACAAAAAACTAAACATAATTTTATTTTTTTATCTGGAAAAAGAAACAAATTAAACATAATTTCATTTTTTTATCTAGAAAAAGAAACAAATTAAATATAATTTATTTTTTAAGTACTGAATTAATATAAATAAAAAAAAAAGCAATTTATATTCCTTGTAAAAATTATAATAAAATTTTAAAAGATAAACTCGAAAAAAAATAGTAAACCCAATGAGTTTTCAATATAACTAACAAAACAATTTAATAATATTGAATACTTGATCCAGAAACCGCGAAACGTATTTTTAAAAAAAAATCATGTGTCATGAACCATACATATTTGTACGTCGCTCCATCTTTCATCTCATTCATCCAATTGATCGCAAGAAACAAACCAATGAAGTATTTTTCCTTTCTGTCGATAAAAATATCGATGAATAATACGAGGACCCGGATAGCGATAAACGGATGCACCAATCATTTTTTTTCTCTTCCTCTACACATACCCGTCCTTCATGAAAACGAGAACGAAATATAAATAGAAAGATGTCGTCATCTCACTGTCATCGCACATAGTTAAAATTCAAAGCAATGCACACAATAAGAAAGAAAACTAAATTAACATGTAAAACATAAGTAAAGATGAATTAAAAAATATTCAGCATTTCTATTTGAAGAAAAAAAATTTGTTGATATTTTTTTTTTCATACTCGTCATAAAGATTTAATGACAAGGCAATATTCTTTGAAGTGTTTTTGGATTGAGATTTGAATTTACCCTTTTGGAGGGGATCCAAGCATCGAATCGAGCCGGAGAGGTGTCCATTCGATAGAGCTCGTCGAGTTCTATCCTGGTATACCATTTTCTTGTTCTGGTATAACCTACAGGCGAATCCAGTTGCGAAATACCTCGAAAATCTGGATTTCGACCAGGATTTGCCCTTTCGGAGGAGATCCGAGCATCGAATCGAGCCATAAGGGTATCCATTCGATAGAGCTCGTCGAGGTCTATCCTGGTATACCATTTTCTCCTTTTGGTATAACCTATAGGCGAATCCAGTAGCGAAATACCTCGAAAATCTGGATTTCGAGCAGGATTTGCCCTGTCGCATGGGATCCAAGCATCAAATCTTACCGAAAAGGTATCTATTCGATAGAGCTCGTCGAGTTCTATCTTGGTATACCATTTTCTTGTTCTGGTATAACCTATAGGCGAATCCAGTTGCGAAATACCGCGAAAATCTGGATTTCGACCAGGATTTCCCCTTTCGGAAGAGATCCGAGCATCGAATCGAGTCATAAAGGTATCCATTCGATAGAGCTCGTCGAGTTCTATCTTGGTATACCATTTTCTCCTTTTGGTATAACCTATAGTCGAATCCAGTTGCGAAATACAGGGAAAACCGGATTTTGGCGAGGATTTGTCATTTCGGAGGGGATCCAAGCATCGAATCGAGCCAGAAAGGTGTCCATTCGATAGAGCTCGTCAAGTTTCATCTTGATATACCATTTTCTCGTTTTGGTATAACCTATAGGCGAATCCAGTTGCGAAATACCGTGAAAATCTGGATTTCGACCAGGATTTGCCCTTTCGGAGGGGATCCGAGCATTGAATCGAGCCGTAAAGGTGTCCATTCGATAGAGCTCATCAAGGTCTATCTTGGTATACCATTTTCTTGATTTGGTATAACGTGTAGGCGAATCCAGTTGCGCTTTACGGAAAACGCTTGTTATTTCGCTTATTTTTTGTCGGTATTTTTGGTTTTTTTCCATGAAGGGGGGGTCTTAGGAAAAAAGTAATTCGTGGAATCGATAGATCTCGTCGAGATCTATCTTGGTATACCATTTTCACCGTTTGGTATAACCTGCAGGCGAATCCAGTT